TACACACACACACACACACACACACACACACACACACACACAAATTTGATCTAATTCTCACCTTCTGCGCACTAGAAGTAGACTGTGGTCTTGTTTGAGAGCCTGGAGACCAAACCCAGAAATCTCTGCAAATCACACATTAGGATATTATTCTTAGAAAGTAACATACTTTGAGCATTGCTTAGCATCGCGCGCCATCTAGTGGAAAGACAATAAATAAATAAATAAAGTACATTAAAAGTACATCATAAGTACATTAAAATTATAATAAGTATTAATTCGTTTCATAAATAAATATTTAAAATGTGCATTATAATAATAATTAATATTAAAATATATATTTAAAATAATTATTAATATTTTGACTAATATAAATATAATATTTGAATACTATATAAATAATTTACAGACAACAAACTATCAGAGCAAGTGTGATCTGTCGCAGCGGTCTCTACTGTGGAGAAGCTGCAGTTCTCTCATTCTTCCAGAGCGGCAGGCGGCGCTACAGTCCCTCACTCGCACCGCTGCAGCGCCACCCGGTTCCTCAAAATCTCTCCCATCCGCAATTTGATGATGTTGGAGCTTCTCTGAGCGTCTAAAACGGTTGACAGCTCTTTATTAAACCAACAAATGCGCCAGAAGTGAGCGGACTTCTGTAGATTAACGGTAAAAGCGGTCGAGGAAGGCGCAAACATGTCGGCCAGCGCTGTTTATGTGTTAGATCTGAAGGGGAAGGTAAGATAACGGTTCACTAGCACGGCAGGCTAAAGCTAATCCTCATCAAACACAGGATTTAAAGTTATTCTTAATTAAAAACAATCAACATGTTTCCTTTGGTCTGAAAGCTCTGAGAGTATTTAAAAGTCCAGATTCTCCTGTATTAGTTATTAAAATAAAAATGAACTTTCGACAGCTGCTTATTATTAACTGATGTTTTTAATTTTGTAACCGTCAAAAGTCAATTATTGTTGATCACTCATTTATAAAGAGCAGACATTTGTATTCATACTTATTCTTTAGTTTGTCTGCATCCTTGTGCTTTAGTTTATTTAATAGGATATAATTCATATTTTGTTTGTTTTGTAAAGCACTTTGAGTTGCATGAAATAGTTGCACATTTAATCTTACCTTATATAAACTTTATTGTATGTACAGTCTTGCAAAGTCATTGCCTTCATCTGACAGTGTAAACTGAATGTTTGATCTGCATTAAGTCATGAAATTGCTATACATGGTGTTACACAAAGTTTTGCATGAACTGCATAACTAGTCTAATTGTTTAATCTGGTAAGCTGCTGATTCCTGGCCTCGGTTACTATGGTAACTATAGTGTATCTGGGTTAATATGGATATTTGGACATTCAAAAAATGTCCTGAATTAGAAAGTCAGCAGCTATTGGAAATTGAGTCAGTGGATTTGAAATGAGTCGTGTGTGTGTGTGTGTGTGTGTGTGTGTGTGTGTGTGTGTTGGACATGTCCGAGATCGAGCATTTCATGACCCTGCTGATGGATAAAGAGGAGGAGGGAACGCTGTCGCCCATCCTGGCTCACGGGGGAGTTCGCTTCATGTGGATTAAACACAACAACCTGTACCGTATCCTTCCAAACCTCTAGAAAAACAGACGATATAGAGTTCTAGAACTAAAAATCCCTTTCATTTTCTAAATGGAGAAATGTAGATTTTTCAAGACAGACCTACTATGAGCTCTGAGGTTATTATAGTTAACCAAAACTAAAACCATAAAAAGCATTTTTGTTACTTGAAATAAAATGTTTTCTGAAATATAATAAAACTTAACATTAAAACTGAAATAACATTAATAAAAACATGATTTGCATTGATTCACACAGGGTTCCCAGGTCATTTGTTCCCTAAAAAGTAGTTTTATGATTTTAACTTTTTTTTTTTTTTTGCGCTTCAAATCTAATTTTTGTAATGTTGTGATTGATCTTGGATCTGATTATTTTAAATCATTTTATAATATCTCTTAAGGAGAAAATATTACAAAAGGGAAAATATAAAGATTGTAAAAAGTTATTTTATTTATTTTTATATACGTTATTTGTATATTTACAATTCAAGGATATCAACTTTTAAAAAGACAAGTTCAATAAATGCATGATGTTGATGAATATCTCAATATTGACCAAAATAATCATGATTATGATTATGGGTTTTGCTATAATCTATTAACTAATTATTTAATTTGTGAATTATGAAATGACTGGATAAATGTGACTGGATGAGCCAAATTATAAAATTACAAAACTGTCATAAAAATGACACTAATGAACTCTATTGCTTTATTACTATAATTAGTATTAATGATTTTAATTGGTATTAGTCTTTGAGTTTTTAAATGATTATGTAAAATGAAAACTAAATTAAATAATAATTCAAATATTGCAATATAAATTGGAAAAATACATTCAGGACAATGGCTGCTGAATAAATGGCTGATCACTGTTGCATTTTATTAGATTTTGATCTTACTTAGGATCATTTTACAATATTTTTGTTGTAACCTGTTAATCATTTTATTGGTTTATTTTGTCTCTTAACCTGCTGACAAACAGTTGTTGCAACATCCAAAAAGAATGCTTGCGTCTCCCTGGTTTTCTCCTTCCTCTACAAAATTGTTCAGGTACGTTATAAATCAGTTTCAGCGTTTCTCTTTTAAACTTAAAGTGATTTCTGGGTGAGGGAGCTCATCTTATTGCATCATAACTAATAATTATATATATATATCGGTTTATCACTGCATACATTTCGGCATGACAACAGGTGTTTGATGTGTCTGTTTTCCAGGTTTTCTCTGAATACTTCAAGGAGCTGGAGGAGGAGAGTATCAGAGATAATTTTGTCATAATCTACGAGCTGCTGGATGAACTCATGGACTTTGGATACCCGCAAACCACTGACAGCAAGATCCTTCAGGAGTGAGTACATGCTTGATTTCCTTTTGTGAACCATTTTAAACAGTTCTGTCCACTCGCCCTCAAGCCGGACGACTGACATTCACTTAAAAGTTTTTAAATCATTACATTGTTTTGTTTCAAGCGAGGCAATTCTAAAATACTTCCAGGCCTCTCTCTGACCCAGCAGATATCATTCAGTAATAACTGATGGACGGGTGTGTTTATTTTTCACAGATACATCACGCAGGAAGGTCACAAGTTGGACACGGGCGCTCCGCGACCCCCTGCCACGGTCACCAACGCCGTCTCCTGGAGGTCAGAGGGCATCAAGTACAGGAAGAACGAGGTTTTCCTGGACGTCATCGAGTCTGTGAACCTCCTGGTATGTTTTTAGAAGCAGCACGTTTCTTAGATGTCTCTAGACGTGCTCAGAATAAACACAGGAATCCATCATAACAAACAGGATGCAGTCACATCCATGTCATTGTGCTTGTGTTGTGTGAGGAGATGAACCTGCTGTTCTTATGAAAGCTTTAGCACTTTACCGAAACAGTCCAGGCCAAGAGTTTAAGGACTGAGATGAGCCATGTTAACTAATACGACTGGACAAGCAATTGAATTATATTATATTATATTATATTTTGGCTTCTAACGATTATGAAAGCAAGATAATTGCATTTAGTTGTGGAAGGGCACTAAAATAAAGTTGATTTTATTTATTTTGGCCAGATTTATATACAAGTATTAATTATTCTGATTACATTTATATGATTATTAAAAAAATATTTTAATCAAATTTATATATAATTGATATAAAATATAAAAATAGTTTTAGTTAACGATATGTGACCCTGGACCACAAAACCAGTCATAAGCGTAAATTTTTCGAAATTGAGATTAATACATCATCATTCAAATAGATACAACTATTTGAAAATCTGGAATCTGAGGGTGCAAAAAAAATCTAAATATTGAGAAAATCGCCTTTAAATTTGTCCAAATGAAGTTCTTAGCTATGCATATTACTTGGCAAAAATTAAGTTTTAATATATTTACAGTAGGAAATTTACAAAATATCTTCATGGAACATGATCTTTACTTAATATCCTAATGATTTTTGGCATAAAATAAAAATCAATAATTTTGACCCATACAATGTATTTTTGGCTATTGCTACAAATATCCCCCAGCGACTTAAGACTGCTTTTGTGCTCCAGGGACACATATTACCTTGGAATTTACTTAATATTTAATTTGATAAGTATATAAAAATGTTTTAAAAAATGATAGATAGATAGATATATATTTTTTTTTTTTGTTGAATTATGTTTAATGTAAGTTGAAGGATATTACTTTCAAATTTCAATAAATGCATGATGGTTCAAAAGCCAACGAGTATCTCAATATTAAC